ATTCGAAAGCCGAATGCAATAATTTTTTTTGTTTATTCGAAATAATTCCTAGTTTAAAAACAAGCTAAAACATACTTACCTTCATCGATCCATTGATGCTAAGTTCATTTTCGATAGTGCACGTCTAGGGTTGTTCAACTTCGCAAATATTCTCCCAGATGTCGCCCTTTGAGTTGTCTTCTTGCTGTTCTTGCCATGTTTGTAGCTAATATTTCGCCTAGTTCTTACTCTTGAAACGAGTGAAATGTCCGTCATGTTTGTTTTCACAACCAAAACAACTCAACCTCGTCCCCAGATTTTCTCGGTTAACGGTGCATTAACCTGCAAGAAAGCTGCACTTTTGACGTCATCGGTTCATTAAACGCAAAATTCTTCCAAATTTGGTCATCAGTAGCTGGTTATGGTGAATTATGCGAGTGCTTTTAGCCAATCAGAATCGGGGAAATATTTTGAATGAATAATAATTCATCATAAGATACTGAGCCTCATTCATTAATTGTTAAATATGCTCTACTGGAACGTTTTCAAAACGTAGAGCTGTACATAAAATTTTTAGAACATTGGACATTCCAGTCTTTTGCAATGTCTCCCAGTCCCCTTACTGATAAATATGACGGACGGTATTTTATGAATCAGAATACCATAACAGTCAGAGAAATATTGCAATCTTCATCGTACGGGTTATGTAGGGCAACCACTTTGAAATCACGGTAAAATCACGGTAAAAATACCGTATAAGCTTATTTTTTTTTTAATTTCCTTCCAATTCTTTCAACAGAGAAATTATCAAAGGTTCTATGATGACGATTGCGATAAACGCCCTACACCAGACTGTATGACAAACCAGCCTTGCATAACAGATGAGTCCAAACTGCCTAAAAGCAACACTACAACAGACACTGAGAGTGATATAAAGCATGGTTCTCAAGAACTAGTAAGCTGTAATGACTCCGCCAGGCTGGATAAGACGATGGGAACAGCTATCCAAAATGTCCATTTTTATCAAAATGTTTCGTTCGAAAATGACGATGATAAAGGAAAGGGTTCAGCGGATCATCATGTCAAATCTGTTGGACAAAGCTCAATTTGTGTCCCTGGAAATAGTTCCGAGGAAGACAGCTCACATAGGTCAGAATTCTCGGCTAAAGATGTTCTTTGTTTTGGCTGGCAGATAGCACAAGGGATGGTAAGCTATTATTTTTAGCTCAAGCATCCTAAATCCGCTCATAGACTGAAGTTAAATTATCATAGTGCGTTTTTATATGGAAAGAGAAAAGTGTCTTTAGAATTTGTTTTAAATTTAGAAGGATGACTTTTTGTTTTATTGCTCTTATTTAATAAAATGATGTGACCATAATACAGGAATAGCACAAAACCAAGCAAAATACAACCACTTAAAACAATGATCTTTCCTACATCTTGGGAAGGGGTGGAGAGCAAATACGATATGTAAAACAGCTTTGGTTCTCACATTTTCCTTTTAAGTGGTAGGGATAGTTAAATCAAGGATTGTGAAGTGACTTAACTCTTGAGTTAACTTAACTCTTATCGCGCGTCGTTTAAGCCCCTAATTGAGCAAATTTATTTAGCAAGAAATAAGATTAAAAAAAAATTTTATTATCTTAACTATGATCCAGTCAAACAAAATCTTACTAAGTTAACCTGATTTTGGTTTATTGGGGGAGGAGGAGAGAAGCTGTGAAGGTTAAAACACTTTTGCACCTCTGTCCAACACACAGAATTCCTCGTGTAACACAGGAAAAACTCCGATGGGCCAAGTGCAATAAATACTACTTAAAAGATAAAAGAAATACATTTTCCCCTTCTGTAAAGACCTTTCCGATTCAAGTTTGTTTGATGACTGTCGCATTCGCTATGGTATGGGGGCATAACAAAGTCAAGTAAAATTATTTTTACAAAATTGCTTGGGGCAAAATACAAGGAAATGAGGTTTTACCACCATTTGACCATTCACTTTTAATCTTCACAGCATAAGATATCGGCACGCGCAAAAGGATCACATTACTGCACAATAAATAGGTATTCCTGTGTTCAGTGAGGTGCAATTCAGCTAAATTTCCCAGTGTGATGAAAATTACGTGTGGCCTTCTGTCCTAGTTGAAGTGAAGGTTGAATTTAATGCTAACGTTATGGGGAGTTGATATAAGAATACTTGTATTTATTATCTTCTCTTTCCAATCGCAGAGTTTCTTGTCAAGTGAAGGATTTGTCCATCGTGATTTAGCAGCTCGAAATATACTTCTTGGTGAGGATAGAAATGTGAAAATATCTGACTTTGGTTTGATGCGACAAGTTGATCAGGAGGTTTACAAACTGAAGAAAGGGAAAAAAATACCATACAAGTGGATGGCACCCGAGGCGATCTTTGAAAGTGAATATACAACCCAAAG